TAGGCAACAGACATGGTGATTTTTTAGGTGATTTAAGATGATCTGAGTATTAAACATGCCTGTTTAGCATGGGGATAGAATGGGACAGAATGGGGATCATCTGCCAAAGATAAGGGAGTTTCATTGTTAATTGATTTAATCAGAGTTAATGATGATTGAAACACCAAATATGGTTTGCTTGTGGTGAACACATTAAATATTGAGGCAAGTTAAATGGAGACCCAGATCGAACGTGAGAGATCTCAGAAGCAAAAATCAGAACTGTGAAGCCACATGAGGCCGCAAACGGTTTGGGGCACCATTTTAAGTTGTTGGATTAGATAAGTTGGTTCATAACTAATCTATATAACTAGGGTTTATTGATGTTTATGGTAGTCACATCTATAGTTAATGGATGTTAATGGGGGTTTATAAAGCAACACGCAGAAGTTGAAAGGTATTAGAGGCCACACATTATGTCAATGTGTCAGCACAGAAATGATGGGTGTGGCCCTCCAAAAAGCGTCAGGATAAGGAGGACTAAGGCGCTCAACAATTATATCCCATCATATCCATTCATATCCCAGCGTATCCCTATAGTCTAGCCTATAGTAGTTGCTTAAATCGGCAGTATATCTAATATTACATCCGATTATCATGATTCTTGGTTATACCCCCATTATCTGGCCATTATCTCCCAATTAACATTAGATCAGCATTCATATCAGTTATTGTTGATTTTATACCTGTTGTATCCGCATTACCCTCTGGAAAACATACAAAAAACTATGGAAAATCACCATTTTTGATAGGTAGCTAAACTATTTCTATGGGCCATGTTCAATAGCTATGTTAGTTTACCAGAGGGTATCTCCCCACTGTGGTTGGTAAACACCCGCAAGCTGATCCACGTCCGACGCTTTCCAGGAAGACGATGAGCTTCGAAAAGCCGTGCTGGTGTCCCTCACAGAAGAGCGCGAGGAGACCGGCAACCGGAAGTGGAAAAACGGTGATGTAATATACATATATATATATATTTATAATATGTCATATATGATATATAATATCTATAATATATATATACACATTATAGAATATAATTGGATATTTCAATATACCATAATATACTATATCATGGGATATTTTTTGATATTGCAATATACCCTCCAGTGTGCTCAAACATGGCTGGGACATCCCTAGAAATGATGAAAACAAACGAACGATGGTACTCTCCAATATATTTGGTATTGTCATTATCCACTGGGAATGAAGGTGGTGCCACCACTGACATGATTGTTGGCTTATAACCCCCATTCACTATGAGTTTTTAGCTACCCTAAACCTTGGTGAAATACGGGTGAAATATATCAACTTAGATAACTTAGATAGGGGCACCAGCTTGGGTCAAGACCAACCAGTACTGAAATCTGAGCACACAACAACTGGATGGTTAACTGGAGATGGTTCAAAGCGGCTTCCCCGGAAGCTAACAACGAACGGCACTATAGACTTTGTGCACCTGTGAGTCCTTGTACTTCCCGGCTCATGTGGCAATTCACTGCTGGTCAAATTCTATTGTTGCCGAAATGCAAAACATACAATACTCCGCAGATTTCTTGGCCACTGAAGACATTTCCATGATTCTTGATTCTGTCCATGCCCGCAATTCCCTTACCACACGGCGATCACCACCAAGCAGCTGACAAAAGTGGTATGAATCCATCTCCATACCATATGGGTTTGTCTTGAAATGGAGCACTCCTTAATCCCATGGTTTATCAGTCTCTTCCACATTGAAATTGTCATGACTGGGGGTATACCTCATCGACAAACCCAGAGTCTCATATGATCATTCTCATAGGTTTGGATCCATCCCTATGCATTGGCCACCCATATGCATTGGAGTGTATTGGAGCCTGTGACTGATTTGAGATGTGTTTTGTGATTGTAGGTGGCTATCTTCACCAATATATTGGGATTATGTTGCTTGCCTCAAGCGTTGCTACATTCAGCACAGTTAGATGATTCTTCTATACTGCATTGGTCCATTTGAGGATGCTTCATTGTAGTTCAGCATCCATTTCTGCACTCCCTCCTCAATGCTGGGCTTCATTCAGGTTAAAAAGCAGATGAGACTTGCATCAGCAGATCGGGACAAAGGTCGCCAAGGAGGGCAGCAACACAGCAACAGCCTTCCCCGCGCAGGAAAGCAGCAGGTCTATGGTGTTAGAGACAACCCAAGCTTGGGCTTGTAGCACATACCAGATCCAGCGAAGATCGTGTCGGCACCTGAGAATCAGGTGCTGCATCCCACTGACATGTTTGATGATTTATAAACCCCGTTAACAATTATAATTGTTGCCAAAAACCTGATGAAATGTTCGTGAAATAAACCGAGCTAACAAACTGGTGCCCCACCCCACAAACTGGTTAGCGGCCAAAGTTATAATTCATTCATGTATATGGTATAAACCAGTTGTAATTGATATAAGAATGCATCATCACCAGGATTATTTGCTATTTATATATATATATATATGTACATATAATCCACTTAAAATCCAGTTATAATCCATTCATATATAATCCGTTCATATATATATATATATATTGGATATGGAGTCACGATCCGAAGATGGCCCTCAGGAGGAGATGGAAAAGTGGGGCCCCCAAGAGTTCCGCCGCACTTGTGACTCCGGAAGTGCCCCAAGGGAAAACGGTGAGGTCCCCTTTTTGATGGGGAAACTGCTTGGATCTCCTTGGTTTATAACTGCAAGCAACTGTTGGACTTTGACTGTGAATTTAGAGTTGAAATCAGATGAAAGGGGTTTGCAAGCCAACTTTTTTTACTGGGATGTCCCACTTTGTACATGTTGTTGATCAATTTGAGGGTAAACGGGGAAATGTTGTCAAAGAGACTGTACTGTACGTACCTGGAGCATTGGGGATACTGGGTGGAAGACTTTCTGCCGGGGGAAATGGATCTGTTCTTCAGTTGTTCTTATCCCTCAAACAAGGGAATGGCGTGAAGAGACAGAAGATGCACTTGTTGACTCGGCTACAACATGGCACCAGTTTTCCATGTCACTTGATGAGTAGGTGAAGTATGTGCCCGGAATCCTACCTTACCGGGTACTTTTGCACATTGCGTCAATGATTTTGTGCATTGAACATGTGGATGTCCCATAGCCATTTTGTCCGATTGAATCGCCAAGTTTCTGTAGATGATCTCTGTGGGCTTTTCCCTGTGAAATAGATACTCATCCGCCAATGTGTTTGGTCACTTACCAGAGGATAAATTGCCATTGTTGTTCATATGGTTTCTCCATATGTTTGTTGATTAAGCATAAATTCATATAACTTTCATTCATCTAAGTCTCAATGTTTGAGGTTCAGTAATATCGTTTTTGTTAGTTCCGTTGGTTCATACTAAATGCAACTGGAGCCGGAGACCCAGATGAAATTTGATATATATATAATTATATATTTATGTATAATTATATATATAATTATTTATTTAGTTATATATATATATATTAGCCAAATTCTATCTTATTCAAAAAAAACATAGGTTCTAACTTCCAGTCGTTTTAGTATATGTCGATCTAATCTACAGTGCTTTCCAGTGTCAATTTACGTCAACTCCGCTGATGCGCCAGATGGGCCACAGACCTACAAAAGCAGCTGGCCTCGAGACAGGAGCGGAGATTCGTCCATGGTTTTCTCAGGGTTAGTTTGGGTTACCCTCTGGTAAACATACACAAAACTATGGAAAATCACCATTTTTAGTGGGTAAATCCACTATTTCTATGGCCATGTTCAATAGCTATTTTGACATAACCAGAGGTTAGTGTATGATAATCAACTATTCAGGATGAGTGTATGATAATCAACTATAATTAACTAATCAACTTATGATCATGATAGTTGATTAATGAACATGATCATAGTTGATTAGTTAATTATAGTGTACATTGTACATTGATCATAGTTAATCAACTGTTGATCAATTAATGTACACTGATGATTCATGAACAACTAATTAATCAACAATCGTATCAGTGATGATCAGTGCGGGTACACATCAGAAGAACATGAGATTGAAAAGGGATAACATGGGACATACACTCCAGTATCTTTAAACTGGAATAAATTGTTTTGTTCAATCCTGGATACATGGTGTTTCTAATCATTTTAATGGGAACATCATATATAAATGGTGGATTGATCCATTGCCAATGCTATGATGAAAAAACTCTTTGGTAAAGCAAAAGTTGTGAACTGCGCCAGTTTTGGATCACCATTGACGCCAGGTATTTGGAAGATGGGCTGCATTTTTTCCCCAGACAGAACCATTTGGAACTTTAGATCTCAAACCACCACAGAACTCATGTTTTGTTTTGTTAATGATGTTAATGTAATTCTCTTTCTCAACAGGTATCAGTGGATCGAAACATCTCCACGCGATGAAAACCTTGTAAAGTCATTGTAAAGCAAAGGGCGCACATGAAATATATCGACGGATACGGCAGAAACAACTTAACTTGTATGAAGAAACAATATCGGTGTGAGTGTGCAACCGATTATTCTCAAAGGGGCTGCTCGAAATGACTTTACATACAAACACAGAAATGTCCAATATTGGTGGGGTCACGTCACAGTCGATTTGATATAGTATAGAGAACCTATAGCACAAACAAAGACCTGTTGGGCAGTTGTTGTGGCGCATTGAGAACGAGTATGTAGGCATCCAACTGCCTCTGTGACGCTTTGCCAAGGAAAGGGATATAGAGATGCCTCCCTACCAGTCACCATCGCAGGTCGACAAAGAAGCTGCTGAAGCGGAGATGAAGAAAAAGGAGGAGGCTATTCAGGTCCCGATCATGGCTGAACATTTTATTTTGAAAACGCTTTGGATCTTTAAGGGGTAACACTTGATTTATTCGCAACTTGCCAGTCCACAAGTACTGTATATTTCCTCCATTTCCATATATTTCCTTTTTTTTTCCTGTCAATTCAGCCAAGTCTAGGCAACCCCGTTTTCTGGACATATCAAGTTGCAACATTTTGCAACTCGGTAATCTGTCTGAAAATGGTGATCTATCCCCAAGTTATGGCCATGTCAATGGAGAAAATCATGGGACATCGTGACATCGAGGCTCGTAGAGACGAGGAACGCATGCGCAAGGAGGAAGAAGCCCGGAAGGTGCGCCATTAGTGTCCCTCCCAAATGGATATTTGAATGGGGAAGCAAATCATCAGCCATCAAGTTAGGGGTTAGAGACATGGAAGCTGAAACGTCTTGCTTTTGGACGGTGACTTTCCGGATATATGTACATGCACATATGATTGGTATATTAGTATATGATTATTACAGTATAATTATATATATATATATATTATTATACACATGTGTGTAAACATGATCACATGCTGTTGAACCTAGTTACTTGCATTTACTGGCAATGATGTCCATTCGGAGTTGTTCCTTAGCGGCCTTAGCGCTATATGTTTTGGTTACCACTATATATATGTATATATATGTATATATACATATAGATGTATATATATATATATATACATATGTATATATATATATACATATATATAGTATATATATACATATAGTATATATATACATATATAGTATAAATATATATATACATATACACCTTTTGTTGTACAGTGTTTACCACCCAACAAACATGGTGTGTTCAAGAGCAGAACACCAGCCGCAGAATGTTGGATGTTGAGTTTTGAGGCGGAGGAGATCCGTCTGATGGGCAAGAGACCTCCTGGAAGCAAGAGGCGCAAGTTGGGATGAAATCTCCGTGGCATATCCCACACCGTGATTTGGCATAAGCCACAGAAATATACTGGAAAAGATCGATTTATATAACGTAAAAAAACAGAGAGAAACAAATTGGAACTGTCAGTCATATACAGTATTTTTCATCACTCAGATTTCATTTTTTGAGGCTAATACACTGTAAGTCCTCGGGATCCCTGGGATCCCTGCGATCCCTAGCTTTGAAGAAGACACAAATAGCAAGCAAGTACAAAGTGTGAAGTTCTGAAGTTCAGGCTAAGACATAAGATTACCTTTCCAAAAGATCTGGAAGGAAACCACAATTTGAAGACTTGAAGAGAACAATCCACCAGTATCCAGGAGGAAAATAAGGCATTCATTGTTGAGAGGCCAGCAGTCTCGTTGGCCGGTGACATCAGAGTCTCCGAAGTTCAACCGTGTTGATTTGAAATTCCAATATTTTGTCGATGAAAACCCATTTGCTTGCTGGTTTTGCATGGTTTTGCGTTAGTTTGGTGTGCACCCGTTCTGCCTTTCAAACGCATCCGCAACATGCTATCAGCCTTTTTTTGTCTCAGAATGGAGTATTTTCGACAATCGGCCAAAATTTCCTAGGAATCACTTGATGATTTACCAACGGAGTTTTGGTTTTTGTCCCCTATTTTTTCAGAGAGAACTCCTATGGCTTCCATGGCTTGTAGGACTCCTTCACGGTCCAGGTGGGATCTTGACAGTGCTCTGGTGGGATCTGGACAGTTTGCTATGAAAAATTGCCCAATTAATTATAGATGATAAGCATGAATTACCCATTAAGAGTTGTGATTTTCCAGTTCGCTAACTGTGAAATAACCAGAGGTTATGGAGGGCAAAAGGGTTAGACACAAAGGTAAATTTGCATCCAATGCCATCGTCACCATCCCAGAAAAACCCATCATCATCCCATTTCTAGGGGTATACCAGTATCATCATGGGTCATTAAATGTCCCCATTGACATCACCCAACCATTAGGTATATGGTCTATAATGGCTACTATAAGGTGATGTCCAATATACCCAAAATGGGACAGTTACCAACCCCTGAAATCATCCAGTATCCAGAATTTTAATGAATTTCATAAACCTCTATTGGGGATGGTGCTTAAATGGCCATGGAATAAAAAAGCCACATTTATGGGGATGAATCATTGGGATGTAAATATAAGATATAGTCATCCTGGAGTAGATAGGATATGGAATGTTCCACATGTCCTTAACAAAATGTGAATGTCCATGCAAAAAGTCAAGAAATACACATTCTAGTCTATCTACTTCAGGATGATTAGACATACTTATGAAATATACATAATAGGATATAATGATATAATGATAGAATGGAGCATCAACAATATGGATATGCAGGGTTTGTATGCAACCAACAATGATATGGATAAAATGGGGATGAATATATAATGGGATACGTATACATGGGATATATAGATATATACACATATATATATATATATATATTCTGGATAATACATGATAATACATTATCAAGACCTCACGTCTTAAACGGAATTCTGGAATGATGTAAATTGGATTGGGCTAACTATCCCAAGTGTCACCTCAAAATCCCTTGGACTTGTCCAGCATCCAATGACTTGACAGTTGATTAGTTCATCCAATTCTTGCACATAACCAGCTTGGCTGCCTCTGAAAGGCGTAAAAGAACATGCTTCAAGTGGGGTTTGCATCATTTGGATATGGGATTCCTATTGCCAATTACTTCCAGGGTGCTTGGAACGATTTCCTGAGACTGATTGGCACATCTTCAATGCATAATTACTGGGCACCCAGGAACACCTTCAGGGCTGCCCAAAGTCTCTGACAAGTACATGAACAAATCACAGGTTGGGTCAACATTTCAGAAGCAATCGACAGATTTACTAGCTACTAGTGACTTGCAGCATTGACTAGCTCATTTTCCAGGTACCCTATTTGGATCCATGGCCGGCAAGATGGTCAGGCACCTAAGGTTTCATTGTTTGCGTTTGTTTGCAGTTGCGCCAGGAGTAAAAAGAAAGACAAAAAGAAAAAGAAACCGCACCTGGGATCAAAATCAGCGATCAACTGGCACTGTCACTGGTATGAGTTTAAAAGCATTTTGTTTGGGTTGTTTAAATCGAAGAATGGAGGGCTTGCCGAACGCGATTGATGTTTTGAATCTGGAGATCCAAGAGATTCAGTCTACACATGTCCACACTGCATTGGATTTACTTGCAGATTTCCCATTTTGCGTTGTTGGAACATGATTTCGTCATATTTCGTCACATGAATTGGCGTTTCTCGAAATTATTTGGCACCTTTTGCCTTTCCCACTTAACATGACCGACAACCTCCAAGGATCCCAAGGTCACGTCATTTGGTGAGCAGTCAGTAACCCAACCACAGTCTAGTGGAAGCCTCTCATTTGTTCAGGAACTGCCGTACCTTTCTGATGTGTATACATACAGACGGACAGACAGACAGACAGACATGTTACATATGTATATGATTATATATATATGATGTATGATATATATATATATAGTATGATTATATATAATAATGATAATGTGTATGTATGTTATTATATATATATAGTATAGGCAGTATAGGCCACTGGGCTTGGAAAATTAAACCAACAAGGATGACATGTTCCAAAGTTCGAAAATTAGCCAGGAATTCTCACTGGACGGCAAGATGTAGTTTTCAAGCTCCAATGGTATCTACTTGCGCGTGAAAAGATGCAATGTATAATAATGTGTTCCTTTGAAAGGTGTTGCCGGACATTTCTTGATTCCTGCTTAATTTTGGTGCATTGTAGATGAAACTTGTGATGGATGCTGCCCAAAAATTGTAGTTTTAACCAGGAAAATGATGACACACCGATACACTCCTGGACTTTAGGGCGCCTTGCATTGAAACAAACCCAAATTTATGCCAAGTCAATGGTAACCCATCTGGAAACCGAAAAAGATGGGGAACATATAGACAAACGCTTGTTTTCCATGGGAAACATCAAAACATGTTCCAGTTTCAGACGAAGAGCAACCCACCTCACAAGGACCTGAGGAAATTGCAGCCAGCCGAGGTCCAAGAAGACGTTCGCTCCTGGCATGTTTGATGTTATGAAAATGATGTCATGAAAATGATGGTTAGGATTGGGAAAATCATCATCATCATCATCAGCATCATCATCATCATCATCATCGTCATCATCATCGTCATCATCATCCCCAAAATGGCCGTATGACAGCAGTTATTGTCAAGTCAGTGACATCAAACATGGGGATAACTACCACACATGGTGGTATGTACTTGGATGTAGTGGGGTTATGATGGGAATATGATGGGGAAGAATTTACTGTATCCAGTTCTTTATTGGTTCAGTTGTTGCTGGGAGATTGCTGGTTTTGGACTCAGTCTACTGTACATTCATCTTTAGGACTTATGATTTGGTGGCATATATATATATATATGTGGATCGAAATGTGTGACCGTTGGGATTTTTTGTTGACAATGTGGCTGATATTTCGCCCAATTCTTGGGTATGCAATTGTGTCCCAACATTTTCGCCCCTTGACCAGTTGCATTGCAGGAAGAAGGACGACAGCAGAGAATCTGAGTCAGTCAGAGCCCGAAATTTCCATCGGATTTCAGGGGTTTTATGTCACAATCTGCGGCCCGATTTGTCGATGATATCCACATACACCAATTGGACCAATTGGACACATGACCTGGATCAAAGTTTGTCTTCATCCTACCGTGGACTGTGGTAAATTTTGGGATAGATGAACATTGATCCATGATAGAAACATATATAGAAACCAGGTTTAGGTATGTTTAGGTACAGAAATGATTCCACAAATCAGAGTGATTTGGATGATTTCAAGCGACCTCACCATTGCCGGTTCTTAGTATACGGGGAACCGTTGGTTTTTTTTATAGTTCAGCTGTTGACATGTTTGATCTGCGAACCGAGGCTTCAGAAGACTCGGACAAGAAGAAAAAGAAGAAAAGGCGGGTCGCTCCTCATTCTGATGAAACATCCCTTGAAATGGTGTCTCGATCCTCGCAAAGGTCACCCTATTGCAGAGGGAATGTACGGACATGATTCACCATTCAGAGGTCTCAGAAATCAAGGTGAATCAAGTGAGGATCAGACCCATGGCATCACCCTCATCACCCTCATCACCATTGTCAATGCAAGAAGTGGGATACTGTGTTTTTCAGGGATTCGAGTGGACCAATTGGGTCCAACTTCCAGACCTTCTGCCTACACCATCCTCAACCGGCCTTTCACATCCTTTCACAAAGACACTGGGGGTGAGATCCAACCTATTTGTCCGCCAACGATGTGTCCTGAAAACCCTAGCTGCTCGTTGAAGGACCTATTTCTGATATATGTCTGATACATTCTTTTGATTTGATTTGGGGATGGCTCAAAATGATTGACCACTTTTGGAGGAACATGGTGGGACCAAATCATGACCGAAGCCCGTTGATTCCACAAGTTCAGGTGGGCCTTGGGGGAATTGTTGCTTCCTCCAAGGATTTTGTTGAAGATGATGCTTGTTTTCTGCCCGTGACCCATCATTTGGAGAATTTTCTACGAATTTATGCTACCATAATATACCATGATATGTCTAATATATGATGCAATGCAAAAATATAGCCTTTTCTGTGGCCCTGACCCGTGGAACCCAGTAATATCATGTAATATCCATGATAATTTGATTCTGGTTTGAACTTCTGAACCTCACTGTGTCACGCGGAATCCCACAACTCCCGGAATCCCAACCATTCGGTTCATCTCGGTTCGTCTCGGTTAGGAAAGTGAAAGTGGTGGTGAAAAAGAAAGGCGTGGCGAAAAAGTGGGGGAAGCCCAGGGGAAGCCCAGGGGAAGCCCAGGCCACGTGAAACGCCAGCGACATGTGGATCTATAGACAGCACAACAAAGGGGGGGAAGTTAGGAAAACTAAGTGGAAACAGCAGCTGTTTGGAAAGCCATGCCAAGTGTCCTGTTTTTTCTCATGCAACTATCACGCCTCATGATACTGCGATCTCATTTTGTAGCTGTAAAGACTCTACTTATGTAGGTCACAAACCTACATTTATGATTTATGATATTTTATTTTCATGTATTTACTGTACATGTCTCTATACTATACAGTTGGTTGTATACAGTGGCGCTCCAAGTCTCCGCAGGGTAAAGTTTAAGCCAAATCCGTGACCAGTCCCAGTCTCTCCATAGTTGTTCATCTAAACCATCTCCCAGCACCGGATCAAATCTTGGGATTATTGGAATATATTGGAATCAAATATATAATCATAATCCCATCATAATATATCATAATCATGATATATATGGGATTATGATATATATGGAATAATCATAATATAATCCCAAGATATCATAATCCCATCCATAATCCCATCATAATCCCACCATTCCATGGGAATATCATTCCGTGTCCCAAATCCGGCGTGGAGGAAGGCCCCGAGTCGCGAGTCCGATTCAGGGCCCAGCCGCTTTGAGCCGTCGGAGTCCAGGCCCCGGCTTTTTGGGCTTTTTGGATCATCCCATTGTGACCGTGACACGGCAAAAAAAAATGGGTCTCAACATGTCTCAACCCCCCCAAAAAATATGGAAAAATGGGATGTGTTTTTTTCTGGACTAGATACTTTGTGATCTTTGCGAAAGATGGAAACCCAAACTTGGACGGATTACTAGAATATCTAGAATTGGGATATCAAATGTGACCCACACCATCATGTTTGGAATGTAACGAATACACAAAATCTGAGAACCGAGCCCAGGGCTTTCACATGTTGAAAGTATAAACCAACTCCTTGTCTTTGGCCCCACATTGCACTCATTCTGATCATTCTGATTCAGGTCCTTGCATTTGGTTATCCTTCGGTAATGGAACCTGCCAATGGACAATTGTTTATTAAAATTAATATCAACATATTTATTCAACATATCCTAACATATCCATGTGTTTGTACAGATGATGTTCCGGTTTGAGTAGTTACTTTTGCGCATTGCCGTATTTAAGGTGGCATTGGAATCCCATCATTTGTTCACCCGACCCAGCAAATTGGAAGTGTCAATTGGAACTCCCCAAACTAAATGAAGTTCAATGAAGTTCAAAACACACACAAAAAAAATCTAATGTCCGGGTGCCATTAGTAAACCCATCATGAATAAAGTACGCCAATTGCGGGAAATTAATAATAAACCCTCCTATAAATAAAGTACGCCAACCGATGTTGAAAGGAAAGTCAACTAGTGAACTCATATATTTGTTTTCAACTAGGCAATTCATGTGGGAATCTTATATATTTGTTTTCAATTTGGCAATTTGTTCAGCGCCGCATAGGTCTGGAAAATTTTCCAGGGACCCCGGCCATTGTTTGGAAAATTTTCCAAGGACCCCGGCCATTGTTTGGCCTAAACTTTATTTAGATGCTCTCAATGTTTTGGGGTGGTATTAATAGCACGGCAACATTACTACCCTTTGGCAATCAAACATGGCCATGGACAAGCCATGATACATATTGATAAATGGTGTTTCAAGGTGAACATCATCTAAAACTGGGGGATTTTCCACCAAGCCATGTTGGTAAAAAAGGATAAGTCGTCCGCTGCCACAGGTCTCGTAGCCCCAAGCACTCGCGGCGATAACGTGGCGCGAGTTAAAAGTGCGGCAGTGCTTGGCCATGTTGGGAAAGGCAAGTATGATATAGTATGATATGTTGGGAATATCAGTATTAGAATGTTTTGACATGCTTTCGAAATGTTTGGAACACATATGATATCCGACGAAGATTAAGAATATATGGCAATTTATAACCCTTTTTTGGGGTATGTACTATTTAATATGTTGGTCTATTGTAGATGGAGAGAGAGGGAGACATAGACAGAGAGACGGACGGACGGACAGACGGACAGGCAGATGTATTTCATACAAGCCAATATTTGGATATGTATATAATTATATATACAGTATATATATATGGTGTTACCATATTTGTAAGTATGGTTGGTTAATCTGGAAGGTAGTATTGTTTGGGGTATTATGGATGTCTTGAACCCCAGCAAATGGAAAGATTTGCTGAAGGTTTTCTGGAGTTATTTTCCCATGGGTAAATCATGGAAGATCCACCATAAATCCACCAATTAGGTAAAATCTACTGGTAAATTTTATGGCTTGGTTTTTGGTACTCCTTGTTTCAGCAAAGCCGCAATGCCACGTGAAAGGCAAGGATATCATGGTCTCCAGGGAGTGGTGCCCCCTTAGATAGCTAAGTTGGTTTATAACCAGTACTACTATATAGGGTTTTGATGATATTTTAACTTTAGTCAAAGGTGGTTTTAAACCAACTTCTAAGTGGGGGTGGCACCTTGTATGTATATTATATATATATAGTATTATATAGTGTATACCAGATAAGATTGAGGATTTTTATTACGGGTTTACTGACTTTGTTTTCCCCCGTAACTGGGATTGGAATCTTGGAGATCCAGCAACCACCAGCTTCCGATATGGAAATGTGTGGATGGAAAAATGGTGGTGATGGATAGTTGCTATGCTATGGATGCTCATCCCCATGAAAATATATGGCAGCACAGGTCTTGTTTTTTGCGGATGTGATATAGATTTGTACATGTGAAATCATGTGAATGTGTATATACCGTTGATGACAGTATTAATATTATTGGGTTGGGGTAAGCAAGAACCAAGAATATCCAATGCCATACGTCGCTCACAAAAAATGTGAGCCAAATATAATGTAGTTCCTGCTCTACAGAGAAATTCCGACAATTGTTTGCCGCTGTGTTAAGCTTTTGAACTTTGATGTTACCTTTCAAATTCTGGATGCAAGCTTCACCAACCTGAGAGCCACAGAGGAGGTTGCAAAGGGTTGGATGCCTCGTTCGACCAATCAGAAATGAGGCCGTGAAAGGCGTACTGTAGGTCCAAACTTCAATGTTGCTCAGAAACACCAAGCTTGACAGTGTCATAGATGGAACTTCCGGAAATGACCCTTGCCTTTCAGGGACTTTAGTGCCCTGAGCCGACCTTTCGATGTTTGATCCACACTGCGCTTGTACCAGAACAACTATCATACTTATATAGTATGTAGTAGATGCATGTAGATATAGTAGTAACCACATGGTCTCCAACTGTGTGGAATTAATCTACAGCTGGGTCTCAAGTGCAATTGAGGTTGTTTGAAAATAGGCTCTTCCGAAATGTCATTGTTGATCATCATTTTGGCCTGTCAACGGGGTGTAAAGTGTAAATCACACATTTCCAGACACCCATGTATCATCATTTATCTAGTACTCATGTGTCACTTCACAATTCTTGGGCTATTGCTCATGTTATTAGGAACCAACTTGCATATGATATGTATAGATAATATTTCCATAATATAGATATCTAACATCTATAGATCCAACTTGCATACTCAATAAGATATATATAAGATATATATATATATAAGATATATATATATATAAGATATATATATATATATCTTATAGATAGATAGATAGATAGATAGATTAGATTAGATTAGGTTAGGTTAGATTAGATTAGATTAGATAGATAGATAGATATCCTTCCTATTGACTGTGTCATGACCACTGGAACGCGCCGCGGCCACGTGACTCGTAGGAAGCCGCCAGGGATCCACTGATCGTTCAGCGCCTCGTGACCCGTTTCTTCGTCCGCCATGGCCAAGTCAAAGATACCTGGCAGCCACTGCATGGCTTAAACGGATGTGCCCCCAGAATGCTTACCCTCTGGTAAACTAACATAGCTATTGAAAATGACCATTTATAGTGGATTTTCCCATTAAAAATGGTGATTTTCCATAGTTATGTTAGTTTACCAGAGGGTAAGGCATGTCTTGGAAAAACGAATGCGCTAGACGACATGAATCATGTTTTATCTCATCTCGTCGGAGTTGCAATCCATATTGATCAAACTTGCAATCCATCAATTGGGCACTGTGAATCCATATTTCCAGAGAATTTCCAGAGAAATTCCAGAGGTCTCTTGGGTCTAAATCCCCCATCCATAACTTGGGAGACCAACTCACTGGGATTCAAAATCCCAAATTCCGATGCTTGTCCATCATCATTTTGTTCCCGATTTTGGAGGTATGTATAATACCCAATGTTCAGACACAGCGACTTATTGTGTTTATTCATAGCTACTTACACTACCAACTAGTCATTGAATTGGTTTAAAGGAACATCTACCGGAAACCCCTATAATCGGTTGTAAAAACAAATAGTGTATTGTGTATAGATTTCCTCTTCAACCAATCCATTGAACTAGTTAGACTAGACTAGTTTGGAGTTGGTATTGGTTGTCAGGAAACCAGTCAGGACAATTGTGATTTACTGTAAGCATCAGTAAGATCAACCTCTCACCAGTGAATGCTCAACATGATAGCTTCAACGTTAGCAATTGGATGGGAATGGTCCAAAATTGGAAGATTTCTGGGAGTTTCCCCTTGGAGATGGCCAAAAAAAACGAAGCGGTTTTCCTGTTGTTTTTTCCCTTTAAAAAGCGTTGCGAGCTGCTGGCCAGCCTTGCGACCAAGGAACCACACCGGTCACAATCAGATCTACAAGGCAAAACATCTGGAGGGGTTGAACGTACCTGCGATATACCCTCCAGTAATTCAACAGTTTGCTATGGAAGTTTTGGCCGAGAAAAACATGATGGCTTACCTAGCTTTACGTATAACACAGCGTTAAATAAATATATATATATATTCTGATATTCCACAGCGATGTTACATGACCAGCAGGTAATCCAGATCATCCGTGTATGGTACATTTGCAATCTACAATTAATCTACACATACACTCACCCAAAATCAGCCAAAGGTTGTTAAACTGGGTAAACTGGCGACATATGCCATATAATATCATCAGATGGCATGATTAGTGGAATATGGCCCAGTCACAAATCATTTGGTTGTGTGCTTAAACTGGGTACACTTGAGCATATCATGCTTCAGAACATCACATGGTCATACATGTTCGTTATATATATATATATATATGTACACATGACCGCATGATCATGTTAAACCTGACGTACCTTCCTAAGACATACACATGTCAACACAACTCTTTCGCTGATGTCCAGCTTGATAACTTCTGAAAAGAAGGCAGAACATCAAAAGCCTTGTTGAGAGAAACTTGTAGATTCAACAAAACAAAATGATGATCTCATCAAAACCCCACATTTCTATAAACATACTTAAACACTCCCATGGTTTTTGTTGGTCCCTTAGTTATGTGAAAAAATTCATCCCCTTTCAAGTCGTCATGCGCGGCAGAACCACCGCAATGGCATCAAGAAGACCCGCCGCCCCCGCAAGATGTCGATGGCTGGGATGACGCTTGGCGTTTCGAATCAAGCACTGGAACAATCTGGAACATATGGGGATCGCTTGCACTTATTTTGTTCAACCAGCAAAGACAAGGGTTTCATCATCGAAAGATATGGACATACCATGACATACCACCAACACCTACAGTCGAAAAATCACGGAAACGATGGAAACCACGGAGATAGAACTGGTTGGTCCTTTGTAAATTTCGCGGCGAAACCATCCCTAAGGACCATCCCCAAAGGATCTAAGGGGACCATGGGCCGCTCAGGAACTGCCGCTTCGTGCGCAACCAGGTTCCAAGCGATGTTGTTTTTTTCGTATCGGTTCCATAGACATGATGTGGCCAAAAATGATCAGCAATGGAAATCAGATTGTTTAAAAGGATGTACACGATGGTACACGATGTGTATATATATATTATATATATATATTATGTATATAGTTATATTATACATATACATGCATATCCTATACTACCAGCTATTGTGGTGTGAAAACCAGAATACCTGGTTTTCTGGATTTTGACCCACAGCCTCAGTGTAGGTGTGTTCACATTCTTGGGTTAGCAGCATTTTGAGTGGCCAGCAGGGTCTGTTGTTCCAGAAAGGAAATACAATAACATGTGTTTTGGTCAATGAAATTTAAAGGGCAGACCGACCCCTCAAAAAATCACCTCACTTTGGCATAGCAACCCCAGAAAGACAGAAATGTAAAATCATACCAAATAGTGGCAAGCATGTAGTTTTCTATTGTTTTTTAGTGGTAATAGATTCGTAATGATATAGTAATATAATATATATATAGTGTATTAAATAGTGGTAAATATTGGCCACATTACAATTGGTAATGATATTGCCACAAATATAGCTTTACCAATATCATTACATGTGAAAAATGATGGCGCCAAATACCAGTATCAAATTGTTTTACCAATACATGATATTTTACCAAATAGATTGAAACATCCACCATTGGTTGCAGCCAGGCATTTGCCAATCGTGGCATGTCCAAGCTCACCGCTGAGGCACCATCGGTGTTTGTGCTGGTGGGCTGGTGGGCCCCGGGCAAACCATTGCTAAGTTGCTGCAAATAACTCCAACAACTAGGGTTTATAGATGTTTATGGATGTTTATGGTAATTACATGTCATTATGTCATGTCATTGTAATTGTAACATATTGTAACTATAGTTAATGAAGGTCCTAAAGCTACTTAGAACGGGCCCAAACTTTGTGTGATGCTACTGCACAATGGGTATTAG